CGATGAACTGTGTAAAGAAAAATGTCAGCATGTCGTCCGGGCTCGCAGAAAAATTCCCAATAACACCAATTCGCACCTTCTTGATATCGCCGATTTCCTGAGGCATTTTGGCTGGCTGTGTCGAGGCTCCTGTACTGGTCTGAAGGGGACTGGGTTGGAGATCGGGATTGGATTTCTCAAAATTATTTTCTGTGGGTTTCCCCAGTGGGGTGGCACCCCGACAGCTGCATCTGATGGTTTTAGCCGTTGACAAGGGGAAGGTTGTGGTCAGAGCTTCAAGTGTGGCTAAGTGACGTGGCCTGTGGCGTTAGCATCCCTCTTGCCAGTGGAATGACAAGCAGATGTTGACAAGGAGTGCTCTTGATCTTGGTTTTTCTTTCACATTCTCGTAGACCTTCCCATACTTGCAGTATAGACTCAACTTTAGTCCCCCTGAGCCACACGTTTTTGTGCGCAAAAGACGTTTCGCAGTCCAAGATGCCGACACCACTCGACCGAGCCATGAAATCCCGGGTGAGCTACGTCTTCCATGAGGTGTCCTGTTCCCGGTTTTCTAACTCGGATTGTTTAGAATGCCTTCCTTGGTATGAAGCCCAGAGCGCTGCGACTTGCGCCATGCTAACCAACGAAAGCCTTCACGGGCTTGGTGACAGGTGTGGCTGTGTGGGCCATCTGGGGAGGGGACATGTTTCCCTCGGAGCCGGACCCCAAAGGTGATCCGGAGACTTGGACCAGAGACGACCTGCGGAGATGGCTTGCCGCTGTAGGTTGTCCCAGATCAGGAGCAATGGATCCAACGCTGACATGAAGCCAGAGGAATTTACACCCGCAAGCTTCCGACAGTAGGGAGCAGCTGCTAGAACGAGTCCGGGCGAATATGAGAATTCCGAGGCAGTAGGACCTCAAAGCAATCCCTCAGCTGCCATTCATGCAGGTCAGCTGGTCGAGTCCGAACAGGGTCGAGAGCAGCTGTGTCAGGGAAAGCTGGTCAATGAAGGCTGCTATTCATGCACCACATACGAGGGCAGTGATTCGAGGCGTTGGCCAGAACAATATGAAGGGGACTAGCGTTGTTAATTGGCTGATCTGACAACTGTTTGTACACTTAGTTTGTAGTTTGCATTCGCTCATTGAAATACCCAGGGAGAGCACAAGGACATCGGAGCTTGCCTTGTTCATGGATGTGGGGTTCTGTTACCGTCGGAGATTATCAGCCAATCAGACTTCCCTCTGCGATAAGGTAAGCCAGGTGCTCATTCCCCGTCGCGCAAGGAGGACAGCTTGTTCCTCCGCGCCGTCCTTCTTTCAACCCCGACCCGACCCATAATATCCCATCGTTGACTTGAACCGCGACAGCTGGATAGTCGCGGCCTCTTGCGCCACGATGGATTTTCTTCAGGTACATTTTGCATCACACAAATCGCCTCCTTTGGCTGTTTATGGCTGGCTAACCCAATCGTTGCCTAGCGCCTCGCGCGGTTCCTGGACCGCCCGCTGTTCCCGTGGAAGAAGCTGATCATTGGCTTCTCCATCGGCCAGTACATGCTTGAGGCTTTCCTTGGCTTCCGCCAGTACAGAATTCTGCAAAAGACGAAGCCGCCCAAGGTGCTTGAACATGAGGTTTCGCAAGAGGTCTTCGATAAGAGCCAGGCATATGGACGCGCGAAGGCCAAGTTCCAGGGTTTCAACGGTCTCTATGGACAGCTCCAGAACCTCGCATTCTACCACTTCGATGTGCTCCCGAAACTTTGGTCGTGGACAGGCAACCTCCTCCTCCGCTTCGCTCCGTCCCGCTTCACCGGCGAGATCTCGCATTCGATCGTCTTCATCTTGGCCTTCATTGTCATCCAACAGATCCTCTCGCTACCGTCCAACATCTACAACACGTTCGTTCTGGAAGAGAAGTTCGGTTTCAACAAGCAGACCCCTAAGCTGTTCATTACCGACATGATCAAGACCAACATTCTGACTTTTGCCCTGGCCCCGCCCATCCTCGCCGGTTTCCTCGCCATCATCAAGAAGACTGGCAGTCAGTTCTTCTACTACCTCTGGATGTTCGGCGCCGGGCTGCAGGTTTTCATGATCACCATCTACCCCATCGTCATTCTGCCCTTGTTCAACAAGCTCTCTCCCCTGGAGGAGGGCAAGCTGAAGACGGACGTCGAGGACCTGGCCAAGAAGCTCAAGTTCCCTCTTCACGAGCTGTACGTCATTGACGGCAGCAAGCGAAGCGCCCACAGCAATGCCTACTTCTTTGGTCTGCCCTGGAAGAAGCACATTGTCATCTACGATACCCTGATTGAGAAGAGCGAGAAGGAGGAGGTTGTGGCTGTGCTTGCTCACGAGCTCGGCCACTGGAGCTTGGGCCACACCACCAAACTCTTTGGTATCTCTCAGGTGGGTTGTCTGACTGTCCATACATATCAAGAAGTCTGCTAACGGCTCCACAGGCGCACTTCTTCTACATCTTTGCTCTGTTCTCCGTCTTCGTCAACAACAACTCTCTGTATGCCGACTTTGGCTTCACCAACCAGCACCCCATCATCATTGGCTTCCTCCTCTTCTCAGACGTGCTGGGACCCATGGACAACGTCATTAAGCTTCTGATGAACATCCTGAGTCGCCGGTTCGAGTTCCAGGCTGACGCCTTTGCCAACAACCTTGGGTATAACACGGAACTGGCTCGCTCTCTGATCAAGCTGCAGATCCAGAACCTGAGCACTATGGACGCCGACTGGATGTTTGCTAGCTACCATTTCTCGCACCCGATCTTGTCGGAACGGTTGAAGGCTTTGAACTGGCAGCCCACGGAGAAAGTTGAGGTCAAGTCGGCTGAGCAGGCCGAGGACAAGGGGGATCTTGCGACTGCGACTGGCAGGGATGAGCTTTAGATGGATAGCCTTGGAGTGTGTAGGATTTTTTTTCTTTTAGGTACCCTTGCGTCTCACAAGCGAGAAGAAAATATCGATTGCAAATACAGCGTGTTCGTCAGACAACCCTGAATGAAAACGGTGCCTCAAGGCAACTGCTGTTGATGTAACCAAATCCCAGCAAATCCCGTCCTTACTTCTTCTTTGCTAGAGTTTGGCCAATAAGGAAAGGAAATGGAAGCGTGAAGGCAGCTAGGAGAAGAACGAGAGACGTGAGCGAGAAAAAGATCAGGAGAGAAAGATGTGAGGTCAACAGAAGGTTCACGAGGGACACACCAGGTTAGGGTTGGCTCATGTATTGCCAGTGCCATATGATACAGCCCGGCAGCTTTCGGAAATAAAACGTGAAGACAAAGAGATTTCTCTAAACGGCAACTTAGTTTTTGCAAAAAATACCAGGTTTTGCACTTCGATCCTTGTTCGTCATGCGTAAGTTCGACATTGAGGTTCCCAGCGCGTCCAAGCCTAACCCTGGTAAATCTGGAGCCTGTGTTCGTACAGCTGGCAGCAAAACACACGCCAGGTGCTGACGGCTTCGAAGACTCGCTCGGCAGCGCAACCTCAGACCCGAACCTCACCAAAACTTTGGACGGACTTTGGCCCGACGGCGGCGCACCACGACGACACGACAGGGAACCTGGTCGACCTGCCAGCAGCGTGAATAAGATTGAAAACACCGCCAAAATGTCCCGCATCAGCCTCCAATCCCCGCTGCTCCAGGCGGCGCTGCGGCGGCCGACCGCGCAGCTCATCCCTCGCTGCGCTCCGGCGACGGCGACGACGACCAACACGGGCAGTGCTCGGTAAGACAACCTCCCAAACGTCCTCTTTCCACCTAAGTACCGAAGCTAAGATACACCTGCGCAGCACCTTCTCCCACCTCCCGACCCTCCGCCCCACGCTCTGCACCCCGTCCTCCTCAACCATCTTCCGCGCCCCGAACCAGACCCTGCTGCAGCAGCCGCTCCAGCTCCAACAGAACGCGGCCGCCGCCGAGACGCTCGACGTGATTGCCAAGTCCTCCATCACGGCGCACCCGGCGCTGGCGGGGTGCGCCAGCCAGATCCGCTGCGGGCCGCGCCCGACCATGGCCAACTCGAGCCGGCTGATCCAGAAGCGGCGCCACGGGTTCCTGAGCCGGATCAATTCCAAGGGGGGGAGGAAGACGCTGCAGAGGAGGAAGACCAAGGGGCGGAAGAGGTTGAGTGCTTAGGGTGGGTGGGGGATTGGGCGGTTGAGGATGCCACGGAACAGTTGGGAGACCGGGGCGGTTAAGAGCAGGAGCCCGGGGACGGTTGCGGGTGTATTATACCAGGGGGTGCTGTAAAATGTACTATATGGGGGTATAGAGGTGTTATGGACAAGTTTATGGGAAGAGTCATGGGGAGGGTCTCGCCGTCGTGCCGGGCTCCAGCTGGGGCAGGGAATCTTGCCCTGGGTTCGGAGAAGGCCGTGGTCGCAACCCCGTGTGTCTGTTTTTGTGCACGATACCTATATTCCGCATAGTTTGCTCCCAACTTTAGTTACGTCCGACGAAGCGGGCACCGCTGTCTCTCATTGGGCGTGGTGTTGCTATGAAGGGTCAATTTCGCCATGAGTTGGTGCCCAGCCTTTGCTTGGAGCTATAACAACTGAACACCATGCGACTCTTGAGTCGATGTTTCTTTAAAGTAGGGCATTCGAAGTCTCACCTGGTATGTTTCTCACCTGGTATGTTCTGAATTCATCAAGCATCAGAACTCGGCCCAGTCGTCAACTGCCCGAAATACCCTACCATCAGTTACTCAACCAGTGAGTTGCTGAGCCAAAACTTGAAGCTCGTTCTGTTGTAGCCAGTCGTGTATCTTACACCGACTTGTAAGGTGAGAATTACTCTTTGCCGTCTCCCGGCTTTGTCTGTAAGCAAACGCCCTTGTTGTTTGCTCCGGGGGAGCGGCAGCCCAGGCCGCTCCTTCCGTCCCCAAATCCATGACACCTGACACCCGCCCTCTTGCCTCCAGCTCCTTCCACGAGCAGGGCAACTCTACAAACCAGATCTTTGCCCGCCGCCCTCAACAAAACAGCACTGGCACCTCTCTGGTGTATCGGTTAACATAGCGGATTCTCAATATTGAGCATTCCGTTGCGCGGGGTTCGACTCCCCGGAGGGGTATCTTTTTTGGCCTCGAGCACGTACAGTACCTCCCTATGAAGGGACTCCGTCATGCGCTACACCAAGGGCATTGGGCCCAGTTCTCGACCGACCACGGGGCGGCGTCCGACGTCGTCATGACGTTCCGATGTCGACCATCGTGGGGTTCCTGTTCCTATATTTTGACAGTCATCTCTGAGTCTGTTTCATCTTCTTCCCGCCTGCAGAGTTGTTTTAGCTTGTGCAACGCCAACTCTCAAGGTGCCGATATGGTGCCAACACTGGTACATACCTCCGAAAAGGGGGCAGAATTGCAGGCTCTATATTTGGACGACTCTGCTTAGTATCTTGGCCACATGGCGTTGGTACGCATCTGAATTGCATGATGATGGCCGTGCTGTGATCTGTGGCCTGCGTCGATGCCTCAGTCAACTTAAGCTGAGTTGTACATACATAGCAACAGGACAGTCGGGTTTAGTCTTTGCGAACTGCCTCTTGTAGACACCGAACGTTTAGTTTCACGACGAATAACATGGCCGCCGGCTCATATTCATGGATCATGTCTCGGTTCTACCGCGCTGAACCAACGCAATCAGGTGAGCATTTCGTCCTCTCACCTCTCCCCGACAGCATCAGAAGGGCATGGCCATGGCTTCACCCCATTAGACTTCGGTCCGTCGATTAAGTCAGTGTGGCATCTTCCCCTTCCACACCAGCAACTGAGGTTGTGCAGATGACGATGACCCGTCGGCCTTTGCGTCTTATAGCCGAGACGAAAGGGTACTGGACCAACCTGTAGTCACGTCTAATAAGGATACGAACTATCTACTAGTACATAGACTCAAACAGAAAACGGGGATCACACCAATGAGCTTCAAGAATCTCATCCAAGGGTCCGCCATTTTTACGAAACTCCAGGGCCAAGCTTGGAGGCAGCGTCCATGGGCACCGGGGGGCGGGTGGATCCGATAAAGGGCAACCGGGCCGGCGGTGGAGTTCCTTCCACGCGGTTTGGTCCCGTCCTTTTCATGCAATTTCAAGGAAGGCGCGAGGAATCCCCCGACAACCAACCTCGAGCCAACAGTGCAGACCGAGGCAGCTGTGGAACCTGAAAAGCTCCATGACCATGGTTCCATTCCGCTCAGCTTTCTGGAGTCCAGGACGACGGGTCGGAACCCTTTGAGACATGTCTTGAATGTCTCGAGCAACACAAGTCTCAAGCTCGAAAGCTCCAAACCCCCGGCATGGGAACGGCGATAGCGACGCCTCCCACGTGGGATCGGGACATGGGACGACCGCCAAGGCCTCGATACCAAGATCGGATGCGACGGCGGCATGGGGAGATCGCCCACCGACCGGGGAGGAACGAAAGAACCGGGAGACCCCCCTCGGGGCCCCTCTTTTTCGGTGGCACAGCAAATGCAATGCAACGCCAAAGACATGCAGACACGAGCTGTGGCAGCACAGGGCACAGGCAGACTTGGCCAGTTGCCTCGCTGTGGTTGCCAAATTGCCATCTCCATTCGCCATGCTGCAATCCGTCGCCGACCTCCACCGGATCCCCGGCAGGCGGGTTGAAAAATGGGGGCGACCATTGGATTGGGAATGAAAAGAGCGGATTGATGAAGCCGTTGACGTGGCTTGTCTTACCCAGCTCGGCCCAAAGCATGCAGGCCCAGAACACTCGGCGTTCAATAGTGAGAAGCTCAGGCGAGTCCCTGCCAGTGTTCAGGCGGTCTAGTTCCACAGGCCACGACCAAAACCCCCAAATCGGGAGGGCTGCGGCTGAGTCGGAATCGATAAGCTGGGGGGCGGACCAATCAGACGAACTTCTTTTCGGTGGAAACACGCGCTCGGCGTTCCTTGGGCCTGGAAATCTCGAGCCGGGACCCCTGCAAAATGGGGGGAGAAACCAGGGACTGTTGGACGCAAGGGGTCGCATCGTCCCATGTGCCCAGGGACGCCCAGAGACGCCCAGACCTGAGGTCCAGCCCTGGGGGACCATCATGAAAAAACACATCAGCGCCCAACATGCGCGTGTCTGAACGCAACCTGCGATAGCCCCCTTCTTGTCCGACCTCGACCGTTACGGTCTTTCACTCTCGCTTTACCCCCCGGCTTCAGCAGCTCGCCTTGCTCCGTCGGTCTGCTGCTCCAGAGTTGAGATCTACTGTGGACTGCAGTAGATATCTGCCTGGATCACTCGCTCACAGACCGCTAGCGACCCCGTCCACTCGTTCCCACCCGTTCCGGTCCCTCGAGGACCCCTCTCCAGCTCTTACGCCTATTTTATTGTAATCTAATGTTTTGAATCCTCGCCCAGCATGAGAACGAGAGCATCTGTCTATGCCGGTCTGCTGTCCCTCGCGGTGCAGACCGGCCGGGCCGATCCCACATGGCCCGCCGCGACCGACCACATGGAGGAGATCGTCTTCCAGCTCCAGGGTGTCCAGGGGAGCCTGTTCAACGACATCATCACCCCTTGCAACAACGAAGCTGCCGGAATCGGCCGCGTGACGGCGAGCGAGTGGCTGCGCGTGGGTTTCCAGTACGTGCTGTTCACTTCCTGGGGGACTATCACGAGGAGTCATCGGGGTGGCAGGTCAAGGCTAACTCGGGGGTCAGTGACATGTCGACGCACAACCGCTTCTCCGGCGTTGGCGGCGTCGACGGCTCGCTGCAGTTCGAGCTCAACAACGGAGAGAACACGGGTCCCGGCCACGCCACGACACTCAAGTTCTACGCCAACTACCTGTCTTCCAGGTCGACTTTGGCCGACTTGATTGCTGCTGGAGTCTACGCTTCGGTTCGCTCCTGCGGAGGCCCCGTCGTTCCGCTGCGGCTGGGGCGCGTGGACGCCACCGAGTACGGACCTGCCGGCGTTCCGCAACCCCAGAACTCGGCACAGACCTTCAGGACGCAGTTTGACCGCATGGGCTTCAGCCAGTCAGAGATGATCCAGCTGGTCGCTTGCGGCCATACCCTCGGCTCCGTCCACAGCACCGAGTTCCCTCAGATCGTCCCTGCCTCTACTGGGCAGCTCCCATTCGACACCAGCCGCGCCACGTTCGACAACAAGGTTGCCACCGAATATGTTGCCGGCACCACGACCAACCCCCTCGGCACCTTCTCCGGACCTGCTGCTGCGGTGGGCCGGAACTCGGATTTCAAGGTCTTCAACAGCGACGGAAATGCCACCATCCGCGCCATGGTTGATCCCACCGCTTTCCGCAATACCTGCCAGACCGTGCTGCAGAAGATGATCGACGTTGTCCCCACCGGCGTCACCCTCACGGCGCCCATCACGCCGTATGCCGTCAAGCCGGTCAACATGCAGCTGACGCTGAACTCGGGCGGCACCACTTTCCTTCTGAGTGGTTTCATCAGGGTCCGGACCACCTCGCTGCCCGCGAGCTCCATCAACAACATCGTTCTCACCTGGAAGGACCGGAATGGCGGCAACAGCTGCGGCTCGTCTGCCACTTGCTCCACGACCGCCACTCTGCAGGGTGTCGGTACCGGCTTCGACGACACCTTTGGTGTAAGTATACGCTTTTCGAACCTTCGTGACTTGCTGGTGCTAACGGCACTAGTTCTTCCCCATCTCAGCGAACATCCCGGCCGCTGCTGGTATCTCATCCTTCACCCTCGTCATGAACATGGTGGACGGGTCAAGCCAGACGTTCGACAACAACGGCAACCGCTACCCCATGTCCGACGCTGTCGTTCTGCAGAAGACTCAGAGCTGCCTGCTCCAGAATTCTGGTGCTCTCACTGTTGCTGCCCTTGTAAGTTTTATCGCCTGACCTTGGTTTGTGTGCGCGATATTGACGGTGGGACAGGTTCGCAACGATCTCGTCGACCTTCCGGTGAACCTGGGGGTCTCGTATCTGACTCCTCGCAACACTAACGACGGCAACCCTGTCCCTGCTCTGAACCAGGCTACCGTCGCGATGACCAAGGGTGCCTGTGTTGGCCAGTATACGTTCTATCAAGCCAGCTTCGCCATCCCCGGCGGCCTGAGCTACAATGCCAGAGTCAGCGTCAGCGCCGGCTCGGGCACCACCGTCTACACCGACGACTTCAACAAGGCTAGCGATCTGGGCGGTACTTGCGCCGAGTTCGCCGGCGGCGCCACCTGCGCTGCTGTGACGACGTCCAGCATTGCCCTCCCGTCGACGACCCTGGTCACGGTTTCCAGCAGCGCTCCCGCCACCACCACCGCCCGCCCCACTCCGGCCATCAAGCCGACGGTCGGTGGCTATGTGTTTGTCAACTGCTACACCGAAGGCACGGGTGTGCGGGCGCTCAGCGGCGCTGCGTTTGCCTACGACGAGATGACCCTCGAGTCTTGCATGGCCAACTGCACTGGGTTCGACTACTGGGCCACCGAGTACGGCAGGGAATGCTACTGCGGCAACAGCCTCCACTCGAGCAGCACCGAGGCCCCTGCTGGGGACTGCAACATGGTCTGCGGCGGCGACCCGACCGAGTTCTGTGGCAACGGAAATCGCCTCGAGCTGTACTCGACGACTGCCACCCGCACCTCGTCTGCCACTCCAACTGCCACGGCAACACTCGCTCACAAGCAGACCGTGGGCGCTTACACGTTTGTCGGTTGCCAGACCGAGGCGACTGCCGGCAGAGCGCTCGCGAGCAAGGGATACGCCGATGATGCCATGACCCTCGAGTCGTGTGCGACGTACTGCGACGGCTTCCTCTACTTCGGTACCGAGTACGGCCGCGAATGTAAGCGGCTCCGGCCCCATGTACCTCCCGGAGAAAACATGATGCTAACCACTATTTCCAGGCTACTGTGGTAACGGCCTCGCAGCAGGCAGCGTCGTGGCTCCTCTGACGGATTGCAGCATGGTCTGCGCCGGCAATCCGTTTGAGTACTGTGGTAATGGCAACCGCCTGGAGCTCTACAAGTTGTCGAGCGCGGCCTCCACGGCTACTTCGTCCTCGCAAGGTGAGACCACATAGCCCCATTGGTGTCCCGTACATGTGTGTCGGATATC